ATTGACCAAATAGCTTTAACATAATCTGGACGAGCATTCTTGTACTGAAGGTAATAAGCATGTTCCCATACATCGATGCCAAGGAGAGGCTTCAATCCTAGTTAAAATGGTAAGCAAATAGGTATTCAGTCAGTTTTAAACAAGATAGTATAATCAAGTGGTTTAGTAAATGCATAATAAGTAACGGGGAAAAATCACACATTAGCGAAATGGTGAAGGAATGAACAATACCTGTTGTTCCTTCTAATGGATCCTGATTCGCGCATGTAGTAATTCTCAGCCGCTTTGACACTGGACAAAAACCTAACCAGCCCCATCCAGAGCCCTGTATAGCTACAGTGTTTGCGCTCATTCTGGTCTTGAAGTCCTCAAATGACCCAAAGTCCCTCTTAATGGCTTCCGCTAGTGGTCCTGACGGTTCTCCACCTCCATTTGGACACAAGTTCTTCCAAAAGATGCTGTGGTTGAGGTGCCCACCACCATTAAATCTGAGAGCAGGCTGAAAAAGAAAGAATCGTGCAATACAAAACAGAAAATTTAGTGGGGTACAAGAAAGCCAACATCTTGATGTCTTAGATACAATCATTTCCAGTTTCTAAAAATAGGTAATAATAGATTGAGTAGTAATTCTACCTGTTTTTTAAAGTAAGCAAAAAGCATGTATTTGACTGCCATAAATAGTGCTATGTTAAAAGAACACGAAACATCTCTTTTTGTCAAATAAATGACAACAACTTGAAGAAGTGTAAAACGCCGATTTCAGAACGGAAGTAAGTAAATTCTAAACGATGACTGTACTTCATTTAGAAAAGAGCGGTCAACAAATGATATATTTATCCCTCTGCACCTTAGTAGGCTAAGAAAAAATCCATCTGTGGAGATGGGTTGGCTAGCTGAACAAGCAATAACTGCCAAACGTCACTTCCGCACAGTTTTGCAACTTATTAAAAGGTATCCTGTCCTTTACAGTCTACCAATAAAAAAATAAAACTCTAACGGTCAACCATGTGTAGCCAGGAAGAAAAGTAGTGGTCCGCAGTGATTTAGGCCCCCCAAAGGTGCAGTTTGCCCAGGGGTGCCCTGTCGTAATTGGCGCAGACTGGGTCTAACCAGCCAAATAGGCCACCAGCTGTTAGTTCAAGGATAGGAAAATGTTATCAGGTGTGTATGCAAATAGTGCGTACGATTTCAAAAGCGTTCACGAAACTATAACTAATCGTTAAATAGAAATAAGCTAACCTGGAGAGATATAATTTTCGTCATATCATTTTTGTGCATTGCCTCAGCCAACTGCTCCTCGGCGATATTCAAATTGTTTACGTATGTTTTATGGTGTTTTTCGTAGTGTACCCGCATGATATCAGCACTAATGGTTGGTTCCAGAGCATTAAAATCATAAGGTAAGTCCGGAATAGTGTGCTTGGAAGCAGCCGTGAAAGTAATAACACGGGAGACTCGCGCAAACGACGAAGAAAGCGCACGCGAAAGCATTTTCATCAGAAATTCCAAGTGACCGCTCGGAAGGCGTTTACTGAACAAAATAATTCAGTAAAACACTGAAATTATAACAGTACTTCAAATGAAGGATGACAGGTAGCTAGCCAATCTAATACTATTAAACGAAGAGCTTCGCTTTCCTGGGTCATCTTCTTCTGATAAATTAAAAAAATGGTGTCCATTGCCTATATGTAAGAGCCAAATTCTTTTTTTCTACGCAATCAGCAATGCAACACTTTTCTGTCCGTGCAAATCATCATCAACCATGGAAGGCTTTATAATTAGATTTGAAGAAAATTCAAATTTTATTTTTTTATGAAGTACTAGGGTTCTTCGGGACATCCTTTGCTTTTAACCCTTCAAATATACTTACACATATGCAAATTCCCCTTATCCCAGATTCACCAACTTCGTAGGGTAGCAATTAGTGTGGGACACTATCGAAAACTGTCTTGAAGTCAATGTAAACAAAATTGACGCAGGTGTAATCGTCTTATGATCTGGACCACTGCTCCATTGAATAAAGCATGCTGCTCAGGCAGAAGTGGTTTCCACGAAATCCGTGTTGTGTCCTATCAAAGATGGCTTTTTCTTCGAGAAAGTTTATGGTGACCCTTTTAATAATCCTTTCCATAACTGTTCAACAGGTGTAAGTTTAAGTCACTGGTCGATAACTGTTCGTGTTGGTTCTGCATCCACCGTTGTGAACAGAGTATATGTTCGCAACATTCCAGTCAGATGAAAGGAGGCCTCGTACAAACGCCAACTGGAAAATATGCGATAGCGCTCTGAGAAGTTCCGAAGCGAGCTCTTGCAGTACCTTTGCCGGCATTTGGTATGGATCCAGAGGCTTAGCTTCATTAAGCACAAGAAATTCCCTCCTCACATCGTCTTCTGTAAAATAGAGGGCATCCATGATTGTGCCATTGCTCCACAAATGGAAGTCCGCCTGATTAAAATCTGGTTCCTCAATGAGAACAGATGCGAAAACTGAGTACAATGTTCCACCTTTTCGGTATTTCCAGTAATTCGTTCGTTGTTTTCGCCTTTGAAAACTGCGACTGATTCTTTTTTTAACCTACTGTTAATGTAGCTAAAAAGTATTTTTGGTTTATAAACGTCCCGTTCTTTAATTTTTACCTCGTACTCCTTCCGTGATTTATAAACACTCGATCTTATCCTGTTTCGCTTTCCTCTTAGTGAAAGGGTTGACATGCTGATGTATTTGGAATTTGTGCCTTTGGAATTTATATTTGTTAGCGCCGGGAAGGCCCTATCCATACAAAATTAGTTTCGTAAGAAAACAAAAAATAATTTGACAATGTGCGCAGATGAGCGTACAAATTTTTAATAATGTCGGCAAAAATTGTCATTTTAGGGCAATATTTGGCGAGGTTTTGCAGCTAATGGTGAACTGAAAATATAGGCAGTTAAAAAAACTACGGTGAAAATGGAGGCAGAATTCAACGTGCCTCCATTTTCAAAAAGCTTGTAGGAGAAAAAAACTGCCTAGGAATATAGGACAGGGAAGTAGAATACGAATAGGTGTATGAATTCTGATGATGGTTATTAGCCAAAGAAACGGCAGCAATTTAGACTGAGTACGTCCATATGGTTTAGTTTGATTGAGTGGTGGTTTAAGGTGACATCTAAGTTCCCGGGGGACACGAGGCAGAGAAAAATAGTTTCAAGAGGATCTCCTAAATTCCCGATGGTTCTTTCTCGGAGTCATGGAGAAAACTCCTTGGAAAAGATGTATATCTCCTCCAGAGTTTGTCCCTTTGGTTTATCTGGCTCTTCAAATCTCGCGTTAACCAAATGATCCGGATCCACTTTCTACTTTTTTCAACGGACAGTTGCGATGCATAATGTCCCTGAGAATGTTCCAATCGGCATCCCGAATGCCGGTAAGAATTTCATGCCAATTTAGTATCGACAGCTCACCTCTCATTGCGCGGAAATTTCCCTATTATTAATTTAGCAGAACCTCCGTATGCTTCGTTTGCTTGGTTTTGGTAATGCGTGGGATTTAGGAGAAAAAAGGGGGTTCCAACTGGGGGGGGGCATTGC